ATGAGCAAACTCAGGGAGGCAGTGAGGACAGGAAGGGCTGGCGCGATATGGTTCATGGGGTCACAAAGAGTCGGACACGACTTAACGACTGAACAACAACAATTCATCTAATATTGAGGAGAAAGAAGGCATCCATAACTGCCGTTACTTCTAAGTGCTTGGCAGCCCAGCACAAGCCTGAATTCTGCTCTTCTATTCAAGAGGAAGGGGGTGGTAAGGATGGAAGGATAACATATGAGAAAGGACAACACAAACATGGCTGATGAACTCAAACCTCCTTGTTCACCCCTTTGTCTAAAATACCTAAGCAGTCTCCCATTACTTGGCAAAGCTAAGCATTCTGTTGGTATTCCTGGTGCTCTACCCTCATTCCCTTTTTAGTTTATTACAGGCTTTTTCTAACAGGTGGTCACAAAACCACAACTGATCAAGTTGAATCTCCTACAGAAATCTAAAATTAATCTAAATTAAAGCATCACTGAAAGATGGCTACACATCCTATTCCTGAACACATTTAGTAAAGAAAATGTTCTATCAGATCTTCTAACCCTGTATAATGACTGTGTTCAATTTTTGGACATGATTCATTTTATTACTGGTCTTGATATAAAAAAAATCCATACCCAGGAAAGTCAAGATCCTCAATCTTAGGATGCCTCCTTAGTGAGACCAGAGTCAAGCATGTCACTGGAATGCCACAAAGTCTGCCATCAGACAGGATGAACATTCTATGTGAGGTTTAATAGTAATGATTTGTTGATGTACTGTGTGTGAAGCTTACTATATCTAGCCTGTGCCATCAGATTTCCTATCATCTCTGTCAACTGAAGTTGACCTTGATAAGTGCCTCTACAATTATCTAGTTCAACTGTTGGTATCAGGTGAGGAACATAAGATTATTCCCATGGATTCTACAAAGATTATCTAGTCTTCATGGAATAGGTGGCAGTGAGGCTGGTTTTTGCCATAATTCTGGTAGCCTGCAATAATGTAGAAAGCACTCATAGAAAAACCAGACTGGAAATGTCTAATCAGATCACCTGAAAAACAGAGTTATCATTAATTATAACTAGTCCTCTGGCTCAAGGCTCCAGTTATGTACAAGATTTGCTCTGCTTAGTAATAAGCATTCTCTGATAGAGGCACTTTTACAAGGCCCTGGTTAAGAATACAAAAGGGACACAGTTCCTGATACACCTGATGCAGGTCACAATCTTCACCCAAAATTTTCATGCCACTCAGGAATGGCAAGGAAGGCATCAGAGGAGCAGAATCACTGCTGTCTGATGGAGTTAATGAGAGGAGGATCAATTGCAGTTAGACAAAGGAGTAGTGGATAAACTGTTGGAACATGAAATGCCCCAGGTAAGGACAGAATAGACACTGCTACAGTATGGGAAATGAAGTGTTCCATTTCATCCTAATGCAGCCCTACAGTGTGGCAGCTGGTACGTGTCAAGTAACTGTGATGAAAATGACTATCATTTCTATAGCATAAGTACATACAGGTAGCAATCATAGCCAGTTGGAGTATGATGGCAATCTAGACCAATCTTTAACATAACAGTATGAGCTAATCGAGTACACAGAGAATTCCAAGTATGCCATTTCATCAGAATCAGAAGAAACAGTATATTGACAGAGAGAAGATAGAGAAGATGGGCAGCTCTAGGTGGTAAAGCCAATGGGAAGTAATATTCTGTTCAGCAGAAATGGGGAAGCTGCCAATTTTCCTTTCAGAAGATGAACAGATTGATTCAGAAGTGGATAGTCTGATCAAAGGAGTGAGCAACACTTTTCTTGAGACTGCTAATAGGAACTCACAAAGAGGATGAAGAGTAGGCCAGCCTAGCAGATACCCAGCAGAAAGAGCTGGCCTTGGTGTCAGAGCATCCTGTTCCTTTCCATGTGAACAACATAATTATCTTAAGTCCCATGGCTGAAACTGACATAATGAATTCAAACTAGATTCAATCCATTCATTCTTTATTTTCTGGTTGTGTAAATATTAGAAATTGAAGGATAAAATGTGATTTGGTTCACAGACGGAGTTCGTGTAGCACCTGTTGGGAATACCTTAAACCAAATATCTCTTTTCCCAGGATAGTTAAGCTACCCAAGAAAAGATGCAGCTGCTTTAAGGTGCTCGTGACATGTTTATGAATGTGCCCTGAATCACATGCTGCTCTTTGAAACTGGATCTTTGTACATCCTTAATTTTATCTCATCCTTTTTTATGGAGTTTAGATGCCACCGCCGCCATCGCCACCACCACCACATTACTCTATCATCGTAAGAGATAAGTTACTTCTAAAGTGCATGACTGGTCTAACATTACCCAGTGAAGTGTATAACTCCAGTGAGAAAAAGGAAATGCATGTGTTAGCCATAATATCATACTGAAAACAACTGATCCACAAACACAGCAAATATTTCTGATAATTATTTTTTGCTTGTTTTCCTGTGGCAACCTTCATTTTCTACCAGTTGCTTAGTATTTTTTTATTTAATGTGCTTCATCACATTTCTATCCTATCGATGGCCAGATTAGGACAATTCCGCAAAGGTTTTCTGATTTTGAACAGAAACCTGTTGGTCTTATCCGCTTTATGTTTCCTAGACTTCAGAACCCTGTAAGTTCTTCAGATAACCACAGCCAGGGATATGGTATCAATGTATTAAGAAGGGGCACTCCAGTCACAAATGACCAGGGAAGGGAGATGAGAAAAGGTTTTACTTGATGGCCCAGAGAAACAAAGACATACTGTTTCTCTTCCTGCTCTTCATCTGGAACTAAGTTGCTTGACAAAGACAAGAGTAATTAATACTGCCAAACTACAGTCTCTGAGTCTCAGGTCTTTCTCAAGGCACTCTCCCACCTGACATCCCTTACATAGGATTGAACCGCAGTCTGTGGGGCACCTGCTCTTCTACTGTTGCTGGCAGGCTGCTGCGAGCAGATCCTTCCTTGATTCTCCTCTCCATGTTATCTTGCCACCCTATAGGACTGCAATCTTAACTTTTATCATGCTAATTTTTTATTAACAAGGGGCTCCTCCAAGCCATCTCCAGAACAACCCTAGATTACATCTAGTTATAACATATATAATATACCATGTAAATTCATAAGAATATATAATTTGAATTAATTATACATTTATAATTTATGTAAAATATAAATACAAATACTGTTTTGAAACAGTTAAAAATACGTACTATATTTTTGCACCATCCACAATTTGGCCCAGCTTGTATACAATCGGCACATGATTTTGCATTAGCGTTTATACAAACGTTCCCACCTATAAGAAACATACGATCATATTTTTTAAAAATGCAATCAAAGAGCTAATTTAAGTTGCAATTAGTACATGTCTTTCTATACATTCAGTTGATAGGTCAAACTATTCACTATATACCATTATCAGTACTACTGCAAAAAATCACATAATATGGAAGGCAGCTTCATTTAGAGAAATCATGTAAATATTTGTGTGTGTAACTGACTGCAATATATTTATTTAGCTTCACGCACACTCAAACTGAACATGCAGCAAAATAAATTCAAGTTTAATTGTTTACATGTAAATAGTCAAACCAGATAGGAAACTTTATAGCTGCCTTCCACACACTTCCTTGTGTGTTATTGTGTGTCCAGAAGGTTACAAGTATAATAGTTTACCTTGCTGGAAGAATGGAAGATGCACAGAATTTTATATGAGTCCCATGTGATAGAACAGTTCCAAGGTTTCCTAAAGAATTTAAAATCCTCCAGGTGGCCTAGATCATTATTTAGAAGATACAGCTCAGTCCCTTTGCAGGAAAGAAATCAATGCTGATTTCTTTCTCCCATATCAACAGAGCCATAATTCCAGCTGTTAAATGAAGAATGCAGTGCTTTCCAGATGAATTCAGAATGGATGTAATCATATTAAGATTTTGAAATTATTCCACTTACTTTGTTGGGCAAATCCATAAATTATGAGGCAATTTAATAATCCAACCGAGAGAAGAAAATTGAAATGTGTCTGTTGAATAAAATGGAAACAATTAAATTAGCTGGCTTAAGTCTCTCCATAACCTTTCATAAAAGTGGTTCAGACAATATTGTACAATCAATACAGAATTTTGACAACTGCACTGCAAAAATCACATATTTCTATAGTTTTAAAGAAAACCCTTAGATTAATGGAGTGCTAATTAGCAATGTACCAAATACCCATTTTTTCCCCAACACTTTTTGAAAGGAAAGATCTATGTATCATACATGGGCATCAGAAGCAAGGAATGGTATAATGTGTGGACAGAAATGCTTATTATTTTCATAACTTTGCATGTTTCGTTATTATTTTGAATGTTCTTTAGTTTGTAAAACTGTAAAAAATAGTTATGTTCAAAAAAATTAGAAAACACAAAAAATCTATTTACAGCATCTCCATTATAGCATGTGGTTTTTTTCACTGCGATTATAACATAGTTGACAATTTAAATTATGGCATTTAACTAAATTGCATTTATTTTATCAGCAACATGTAGACAAAGCAACCTGACAAGGGTGGAGAAAAGATCATAGCAAACCACCAAACTTAAACCACAGAATAGAAAGGGGTTCTTCCCTTCCTTTTTTTTCTTCTATTAGGAACTCTTTCAAGATTCTCCTTTTCATGGAAGAAAAATAGGGAGGAAAAATAAGTATGCCAGTTCCAGAACTGGCATATTTTTTTCTCTATTCCAAGCAACTGTCAGGAAAAGGAAAAACTATAGAACCATTTACAGATTACAGAGATAACAGGTATTTCCCCCACAAAAGAGGCTTCAAGGATAGACTTTCTCCTCCAACCATTGAAAACAATTTTATGATTACTCCTAAGTAAAGAGAAAGCACAGGTGGGCTCTCCAGAGTGCATTGTGCTTGGAAATGGGGATGGGCTGCAAAAACTCCTCCATGATTCTCTCTTTCACCAAGACAAAAGCTGAGCTGTCAATTTATAATCCATCAGTGACATGGACCAAATCTTACTTTCCTGACAACTAGCAGTATTAGTCCCCCAAATGAAGACATTTAACCAACATTTTTTCAGAATCATACATACTCCATGCATCTGATGAAGTGGACTATGATTCACAAAAACTCATGGAATTACAAATTTAAATTACCACAAGACTTTGTCAGGGTATTACCCTGGAGTAAAGAATTTCTCAGTGAGAATATGGACTTGACATAGCACAGCTTGACTGTGTCTGCAATCCCCGCAACCCGCCCAGAGCACACACCTGTAGGGTATGGCAGCATGACATAGCACAAACCACTGTATATAGCAAAGTGTGTGGCTGGTGATAGGAGTTGTGTCTGGTGTTGGAGTTCTGGGCAGTAATAGGGATTTGCAGGTTGGTGTACATTCTGTATATACTGTACAGTAAACGTCTGTGTATAAGTTTTCTACATTGGACTGTTTATTTTGTCTCACTCACGGAGCACCACTGCGCGGAGTGTACGCTGCACACCCTGACAGACTTATTTTTGCTGCAAAAGATTAACACTCTATGTACTCTTCTGCATGGGTATCTGCAAAGGGGTGATGAGATGATAAAGTGTCACACAACTCTGCCCTTTTTGTACTTGTGTTGTGACACTGTACACAAGTACATAAGGGGTGGGCTTGTGACATGAAATCATGGCACATGTTTTTCATTTTAATTAAGTTCTAGTTGCTATGAATGCCCATACTCCTCTGTTAACCAGAAAAAAGATTTTTAATATAGCTGCAGATGTTAATATTCTTCGACATGTACTTTGTCACCTACTTGGATCATTTAGCTTAACATTTCTTCCACCAATGAATTCTCATTCCTGTACTCCAGGAAAAAAGTTACAGCAACTCTGGAAAAAAATACTTTTGCAATTTCTAGTGAAAAGCATATTGTCTTAAATCCTGAGTATACCATGTACCACAAATGTTTTCTTTCTGTAGCTCCTTCCCAAAAATATATTCAAATGTATATAATTTTAAAGCTCATATTTAGCTACTTAAATTTTAGAATATGGTTTTATATGCTACTGTACCTCTTAAATGCAGCACTGATTCTAGGATGTATCCTAGTGCTTATAAAAGGTTGGGTGTGCCTTTTGGATGTGCTAAGGGCCACTGCGCTAGAATGAGAGTTACATCCCAACTGAAGAGAGAGAAAAAAAGGACTCACAATATGCACCTTCATTTGTGGCAGAGAGGGATCCTATAATAAGCTGTTACTGAGAGTCTTCCCCAATCATAATCACTGACATCAGCCAGGCCATACAGAAGCCAAGTTAGCTGGAATACTCTTTGACTTTTTATAGGGTGCAGCATCTGTTCTAACAGAAGCATATTCATTAAAAAACAAGGTCATTGGAGTCCTTGTGGAGTGAGGCGACAGAAATCAACAGAAAACAAAATAAGTAAGTAAATGAAAATAACATATTGTTTATCAAAACAGACATAGCACATTTTCTCTCTCTTCAGGAAAAGGAAGTTTCTCATTTCCTTTCTGACTTTTTAAAGAGTTTACCTAAGAATGAAAAGAGTTGCAGACAAAAACTGGATATAAAAAATATTTTAAAACACTTGACAACTTTTAATTACTGATCAGCTCTCAACTGCAGAATAGTTGGTTTTATTTTGAAAATAAAAGTTACCATAGCTATTATACTGAAGCTCTGAATAAAAAAATCCATCCATAACCACATAAAGAAACAACTCAAAAGCTCTTCCCTACCTGCATTCAGAAGACTGACACAAAAATGCATCCAATCAGTGGCTGAGTTTTGAAAGAGACAAAGAAAGGCCAAGACAAGACTAGAATTCCATGCAACACACAATGCCACAGAATGTGCATATACAACTACTGTATGCTGTTTTCAGTATAATGGACTAATGCATGTTTCCTTTTGCAATTTATGCATGCAGCTTTTTACATACTACTGAAACCCAAAATGGCTTCAAACTTAACTCACGTAAAAATATGCATAGCATCCACTCTTGAATACATTTTAAGGAAGATTCAGACAAAATGGAACAGGTGCATAGAAGGCAATGATTGGAAACTAAGTCTTATTGGGAAAGAATGAAGCAATTGATTGAAGGGTATATGTTAACAACCTTTACACACCTGAAAGGATGCCAAAATAAATGCCATCATCTGTTCTCTGTCACAATGGACTGTCAGTCCCCTGCTTTTAGAAGCTGATTATGTCTGAGAAATACTTTGGTTTTTTATATAGTAAAAACAAATTATGATCTTCACAAATCAAATACAGCCCCCTTTCACCCAAATATTGAAAGAAAAAAAATTAAATGTACCTTTGGCATTTTTTATTTAATGTTTACCCCACCTCTCCTCTGTGAGCTCAAGGCAGCATAAGTGGCAGTCTGAGGACAGCAGGACTGAGTCACCAAGTGAGTTTCTATGGCTGAGGATGTGCTTAAACCTGGGTCCCCATAATCTTAATCCAACTCTTTGGCCATGCTGCTACACTGCCTTTTCTTACTCATTTCTTACTTTCCTACACACAATCAACACAGAAATTACATCTCAGTTTAAAGAAAGAAAAAAACCCAATGAAGTTATACTTTATAAGAGAATAAAATAGGTTATTCTCAAAAGATATACCTGTTTTCAGCGGACGTGAGCATATTTCATTTAGTACTAAAGCCAGCATTCCTCTCCAATTATGGCACCAAATATACAAAGCATTTATGTAAAAACTGATGCTACCCCAAGACTAGCATATCCCACAAAAGCAGTAAATTCCATTCAATGTCCAAATTTGGTAACTGAAGATTCTAGGTTAGATTTATTCTTGACAGAATTCTCCCATAGCTGACGTTTCTAATGAATATTAGGGAAGCACAGGAAACTGCCTTTCCTGACTCAGACTTTTGGCCCATCTAACCCACTACGGGAACAGGGATTGCTAGCTGCTCTTCCAGTTATTTGTCTACAGGGTCTGGATAGGCTAATTTTAAAAGCTGATGGCAGAAGACACATTCAGGCAGGAATTTTTCCAGTCCCACCTGCAGATGTTACAAATTTAAGATTGGATCTCCTGAATGCAAAATATACACATTTATCACCGAAACAAGCCCTCTCCTCTAAACAACAGGATCCTACTGTCAATGGACCAGACCCTGATTTAGCAGTGAGCACTGGATTTCCATTTAGAAATAAAATATGTTCAAAGAAGAATTTACCCTGTTTAAACTTTAATTATCATAATATAGTCATAATCAGAAGCCACATTTTAATCCATGTTTTCAGAAATGGAAGAACAAATCACAATTAGATCAAGTGTCACAGAAACTGTATTTGTTCAGACATTTTTGCTTTTAATTTATTCTGTGGGGTAAAAGTGGGGAATGGGAGTGCTTGAGTCCAAGACCCATTACTTAATTAATGGGTAATCTGTATTAATTGTATTAATTACAAAGCAAGAAGCTATTGTCTATAAAGCAGACTACTCATTTTTTATGATACATAAGTCTGCTTACTCATTTCCTTAGGATAATTTTTTTTGTGACACCCTAGTGAGTAATCTGCTTTATCATTATTTGATTTTTACACTGTAGCTTGGTGCCCAAGGCAGGAAATCTTCCTGGTTAACTACAGTTCTTCCATTTGGTCCTGTTAATTAGATTTTAAGTTTTAATCACGGTCCAGAGAAGTGAAGGGACTGAGGTAAGATTATCCAAAATGCAGTATATCATTCTCTATTATACATTTCATGTGATTCATATCAAGTGTAACATAAAAAAAATGAAAAGACTACGCTGTCCCCTTATGTGAGTACAATAAAATTTGTAGCATAATGATTAACAAGGCAATGGAAGCCAGAGAGACATCACAACGTTACTCTTCAACCTACAAAGAGGCCATGGGTAGCTTTTTTTAACCATCTACAATGTCTGGATAGATTCATTTTAAAAGTCATCAGCAGAAGACACATTCAGAAAAGTCACTACCAAACAATCTCTATTTCAATAACCCTGTCTTGCCTTAC